CCCAGGCCCAGACCCAGGAGCCGTCCTAGAGGCAGCCGCCTTTGTTTTCTCTTACAGAGTTATTATTTTATATTTCATTTAAGCTCAGCGTTCTGAGCCAGATGAGACGACATAAGGGCCCCGCGGGAAGATTACACTTCCGTGCCGGCCTCCGGCGGGAAAACAGGGTTTCACCGCTAATGAAAGGAAGACAAGGCTTGGCTAGCCTTCCGGGAAGACATCTCTCCCCTGATCAACGTCAGCAAGAAAGGGTTGAGATGCAGCTCAGAAAAAAAAAAACTATAAAGTGCGAAGAAAATTGTGCTAAAGTACACAATGACGCTAACAATCCGTGGGGTAAACCATTGTGACTAAACCATGAGATGCATTGTCTGCCATATTCCATTTTCTAGTGATTGGGTGAGATGAAGAGATCGGACCTCTCTTTAATTTCGTCAGCCCCAGGCCAGGCAAAAGGGTTCAGAGGAGTTAGCCGAGGTCCTGAAGTATACAACCTAAACTAGGATGGGGCCAGTGTGGAGCTACAGATTGTAGCGCAAATTTAGGGCTCAGAAATCGAACAGTGTTTAAATAAGAGCCTAGAAAACCATGCCTGTGAATATAACCCAACAGGTTCCGAACAGTTTATTTTTATGAGTGGAGTAGCATCCTAAATATTTTCAAGACTATAAAAGATACACTATTACATTTTAAAAGGTGGTTGGGTGCGCTTAAGCACCTGACTACCATTCAAGAGGCTGGCGGTTTGAACCCACCCAGATGCAACTCCAAAGACAGGCTTGGCCATCTGCTTCTGAACGGTCACAGCCTTGAAAACCCTATGGAGCAATTGTATTCTGCACACCTGAAATGGCCATGAGTCAGAATCTACTTGATGAAATGAACAACAGCAACTACATTTTAACCATTAAAATTTCAAAGATGTCATCATTGCAGATATAAGAGTGATGAAAAATAAATAACAGTAAGTGTCCCATTTACTTGGGAAGAAGTACAACCAGTGTAAACAATATCAATGACTCAAAAGGTTGGAATCAAAAGGTTTAGGTGTCCTTTAACTACCTGTCCAATGAGAAGTGTCTGTTTCACTCCCAGAGTAAATCTTGCCAGGAATTATGACCTAGAGTGGTTTTTGAATGCTAATGAGTGTCAGGTTTGGGAAAAAAAAAAAAGATTTTGAAGTTCTGCCTGTTGCTCCTGTCTTATCAGCAGGTAAGGGTTTGTTGTTTTGCTTTGAGTTTTGTGTGTGTGTGTTTCATTTGTTTTTTGGTATCTGGGGGAGAGGGGCAGCGTCAACATGTGGTCAGGGGTGAGTTATGGAAGGCAGTTTACTTTTGCTAACGAGACGGATTGACACAGTGGCTGCAACAATGGGCTCAAACATAGCAACGATTGTGAGGATGACACAGGACCGGGCAGTGTTTTGTTCTGTTGTACATGGGGTCACTGTGAGTCGAAACCTACTTGATGGCACCTAACAACAACAACTAGGATGAGAGAGGGACACTTCTTATTCTGTAGACAGTTTCTGTGGCACCAAGTTAATCTGATGCCTCCATGTTTCACAGGGAGAAACAAAGCAGAACAGCCAGTTCATTCTGGACAAACCATACATTTCAAATTAAACACTCTGTGGCTGCAACATCTGTGGAGGGTCCCTTTTCCCACAGATTTTTTTTAGCCCATCAGGGAATTCAGTGCTCTGATGGAAGTCGATTTGGGATTAAAAACAAATTAGCTAGAGTTTGTGGAAATCTTGCTTTCTGTTGTGCTGTTTGTGAGGTGCATGCTTAGAGTTTTACACACAGAGAGGGTTCAAACCTACCTGTCAATTTTAAATTGTTTGCATAGAGCAGGGGTTTTCATTTAAAAGCAAAGTCCTAAAAGTTAGGAGAGGGGTCTGAGCAGAGGTGCAGACCTCTCCTCTCTCCTTGTTTCTCTGAATATTCCCTTGCATCTCTTTCCTCTTTCCTGAACCTCAAAAGCAAAATACACACTTTCTTCTTATCTCAAATATCTCTCTTTATTCCCCTACCTCCAGAAATTATTATTGTGAGACAAACCAGAACCTGCAAAATTTAGCCCTAAAATAGAAAAGATACGTGAACACAGTTCTGTAATCCATGATCTTTGCATTATAGGGAAATGCACACAGTCTGAAAATATCATAGCCTTGGGGACCATTTCCTGCCAACAACCTGTCTCTACAGCCCTTAGATCCATTTGTTACTTAGAGAGATGCCAAGTGGTTCTGGTTTTTATAGATGAGGCGATGTGTGCAAGAAGCTTTTTACACTCCCTACTCCCTGTGGCCACACAGCAACCACTTACTCGGGCCCCTCGCCACTCCCTGCCTCACTCTCTGCCTTTGAGTCTCTTTGTCTCTGATTCTAACAAATACATGACATGAAACTTTTTCATCCTGCCCAGCGTTTATGGAGTGTTGATCCTTTCCCATAGACATGCTGTAAGGAAAGTGGGTTTTGAAAGTCGCTCTTTTGTGTTTCACCTAAGAAAACAATGTCAGCCTTAAGAGACCTGGGAATTGAGATGGGTAGATGCAAACAGGCAGATTTTACCGTCCCACACTTAAGTCCACCATTTGGTCAGTAATTAGTGAGGGGCCCTGGGAGACAGAGACAGATTCCCGTAAAAGCGTGCTTGATCTGACATGGTCTATGGGGAGGAATCTGATACTTCCTGAAGCCCTTCTGGAAATAACAGCAGAAACAGGGAGAGGTTTCATGAGACACAGCAAGTGGATTAGCAGGGTCATAACCCCTCTCAGGCTGGGCAGACAGCCACTGATGCTCTCTTAGCCTAATTGGGTGGCTTCTCACATAAGTAGCTTAACCAACTGTTGATAAATGTGATTTTTCTTAAGATTGTTGATATAAATCTTTTCACTCTCCCTGAAAATGTACCATGAACTTGAGTGCTGGACTCCTTGAGGACTACTTAAGGAAAATCAAAGCAGAGATCACACAACTGTCTGAGATCAGATTTGCTCTTGGTGGCTGTTCCCTGTAACTGACTGCTGATTTCCAAGCTCACCCTGGTCTCTCACCTGGATCCCTAGTCAGTTCTGTTACTGAGTCTTACTATGCTAACTCTGAGGGATGAAGGGAATGGAGTACTGAACTGAGATGCAGGAAATTTTGATTCTGTGTCTAAGGAACTATGGCCTCCTCCCTAAAATAAGGAAGATGGATTCTAAAAGGACATAC